ATTCATTTGTTTGTAAGTTATAAGCATTTTTATATTTATATATAAAAAGTGGATGTTTCTTGCTGTCCGGTACTGTAGCAACATTAATTAATAAGTCTTGCTAATTATTATTAGTTTACTTAATAAAAAAACTATATATATATATATATATAATTTTTAATACGATTTCGAAAATTGTACGTACCTGGAGTTACTTTTCCAATAAATGCAGAAATGAATTATCGATTTTGTAGCATGCATCAAGTTTGCCATTTAACGCATAAATTTCAACATCAAAGCTCGGCATGATTTATGCATTTAGCAGACTCAAAAGCATATCGATATATATACATGATTAAATTTACTTAGGTATCATATACGCCTCTAATCAGGATCGAGTTCCTGCAAGTAATAAACTTGAAGCATAAATAAAGCCCGATGTCACTTATTTGAATCCTTCAATAGAGAGTAATCCTTCGACCGAGATTTTTCCTGTTTTTCACGAAACCGCCATTGAACTTTTCTTTTAGTAATTTATTACGTTTTTAGTATTGGTTATCCACATAAGATACGTACGTACGTACATAAAAAAGTTATGTTTTTGGTTGGTAGGACAAAATTAAATATACCCAAAACGGTCATTAGTTGATTTTTTAATTCAGTACGTATCCAAGATTAATTTCCACAACGGTCATTAATTGATTTTTTAATTCAGTAATCCAAGATTAATTTCCACATTAGAAGTTTATTGCCGAGACGTCATTGTGAATGCATATATATACATTTCAGTTTTAGGAAATTAATATGATCTCGGAAATTTGTGGCGCTATCAAATGATGAGTCGCGCATACTGTAAATATACAAAGTTGTTTATAATATTAATACGTAAAATATTTAATCTACACTGTTTATACTGTATAAGTTCATTATCACCGCTTATTTTGAAACGCGATTTTTAAACGCAATAATTTGTTTTCTTGTTTAAAAATGCAAGGCTTTTCTGTACAACGTTCTATTTTTGCACAATGATCTCATATTTATAGTATCACGAACATCATGAGTGACCTGATGTCTTAAAACAAATTCACCCACATTACTTTAAATGATCTTATTTATCATTTATGTTCGAAGTTATATAAGTGACTGTTTTCTGAACTTCAAAATATCTTAAAAAAACTTCTACCTTTACAAATATCTTTACAACAATTACAATTATTAACTTCCCTATCTAACAATATCCAACAATATCCAACAATATCTTACAATATCCAACAATATCTTACAATATCTAACAATATCCAACAATATCCAACAATATCCAACAATATCCAACAATATCCAACAATATCCAACAATATCCAACAATATCCAACAAAATGGTGTTTAAACTCTGTTATAGCAATTTGTCCTTCAATTCTACAATCCATGTGGATTCTATAGAATCAATATCTTCACTTTTAACTCTTCCAAATGAACTTTTATTATTATTATTTGAAAGTCTGGACTTTCCATCTATTCTTTCTCTAAGTAATGTCTGTAATAGATTTTTATTAATCGCTCAAGTTTGTTTAGCAAGAAGATTTAAAGATTCAAATCTTACCTTAACTTTATTCTTTGACCAAGAATATCGTCGTAAAAATAGCCTAAATTTCTCTTTTGACCATTTTGATTCGGAAACTGGAAGATTCATTTTTACTCCAAAAAAAGATAAAGTTATGAGATTCATGAATTCTCGTATGTTAGGATGTCCAAAATTACGCAGAATCCATTTTACTGATTTTGATAATACTTTGATTTTTGATGATAAAAACCTTTTACAAAAATCTTGTTCATTACCCATAGAATCAACTAATTCTATATTACAAAAAATTTCTTCGGAATATAGAATAGGTCGTGGTTCAACTCATTTACAATCTATATATACCTTTAATTACTCAATAAGTGATTCCCCACCATCCCCATTAGTAATTAGAACTCGACGTGGTGAACGATGGATCAAACCTCTACGATTCGAATGTTCTCCATGTTTCTTTTACCCCCATGAGCCTATCGCTCATAAGATAATTATGGACATTATTCATTTCAAGTGGAATAATCAAAATAAGAAACATAATATGAAATTATTAAATCTAAATGAAACTAGTCTATATGGTATCGAATCGGAAAGGGATGATGATGCTATTAACGAACAAAGGATGTCCCTAACAAGACTAAAAAGATATTATCGTGGTGTTCGACGATAAAAAAAAAAAGATCTGGTGCTGCCTTCACGTGACAATTCGGCCGTTATTACTTCTCATTACTGTTACCATAAAAATTCATTATCGTTATGCAATACCATCAACAAAAACTCCGATTAAAAAAAGAATCTTGCATAAGAAATCACTCAGATTTAATACAAAATGAATTTATTTTTATCAGTAAAAAAAATAGTACATAGAGTAAAATTTATATATATATTATATATGGGTAAGTACACAGCAAAACCATGCTTAGAGTATATAGATTATATATACTCTAAGCATGGTTTTGCTGTGT